ACCCTGTCATATCGCATGGTCAAGTCTTCCGCTGTGTTTATCTCTCCCTGTGTGGTGTGATACTCCTATCCTCTCCCCTTCCTTCTGTGTATGTATGGGCATACCTGGAAGTCTATGTGAGTGAGTGCTGGTCTTCAGACAACAAACAACCATCATAACACAGACTTAGAAAACTCAGCAAGGCATTCATTCCAGCGGCAAAACTCAGAAATCAGCTGTGTTCTAAGTCCGTGTTTTGGCAGGTCCTTACACTTCATTCTTCTTCTCTACTCAGTCTAAATCCACTTCTTGAGTTGCAAAAGATTGCATTGGCTTAAATTTGAGTCTTGAGTTGTGAATTAAGCAGGGTTATAGCGGATGCCTCAGCCAGCAAAGCCCGGATGATAGTGGGTATTGTGTTGGGAAGAACTCCAGAGCTTGAGTCATATGTTTTATTGGCAGTTTACCTTTTTCCAGCATGCAGTTGAGATACAAATGCTTAACCACTACAAATACAGTCTTATATCGATATAGAACCTATTTTGTCAAAACTACCTTTAGAGCATGGTTTGCCCCAGACACGGACATCCAGACATCCAAACACCGACAGCCAACCCGTGTGTGGATGAAGCAAACGTCCGCTTAATAAGACATGCATCCGGACATCCAGACATCGAGACGTGGACGGTCCAGTTGGATGTCTGGATGTCTGAATGTCCGGATGCACTTGAAAAAAATTCAAAAAATAAAATAAAAACTGCTACACACACACCCACACATCAACACACACAAGTGCTACACACACACACACACACACACACACACACACACACACACATGAAGGCAGACAACTGCTGCAGCGGCAACAACAGCTGCACCTGCTGTGGCAGCTGCAACAAGTGCAGCACTTCTTGCAACTGCAACAGGAGGTGCAGCTGTTGTTGCTGCTGCAGCAGTTGTTGCAGCGGCTGTCACTGACGCTGCAGCTGTTGCGGTTGCTGAAGAATGTTTCTCCAGCGGCTCTGCCGCACACACACACACAACGGATTCCATACGAGTGGCGGCTATGGCTTCCCTCCCCTCTCTCTCTCTCTCTCTCTCTCTCTCTCTCTCTCTCTCTCTCTCTCTCTCTCTCTCTCTCTCTCTCACTAACCTAGGTCACCCTGGATACACCCACTCAGGTAGCTTACACCTTGGCAGCTTTGGCCGCCGTCCTTCTGCTCTACCTCTAACCTAGCTATGGAGTATCGCCCAAGCGCCCTCTTCTTCTTCAGGCGCGTAGTGCCCAAGTTGCCTTAACGCACAAGCAGCAGCATCGCTTCCGCATCCCGCAACTGAACAAGTGATGAGCCGCTGCACAGTAGCAGCTAAATATAGGTCTTGGCTTGGCTTGGCTTGGCCTGCTTCAGACCGGTACCGGCCGGCCGCGGCCTCTGCTGCAAACATTTTGTCGGTCCACTAGCTTCCGGACTTTCGTGGGACATGCTGCAAAATTGGACTTGGGACTGCCGGACCAGACTGGACTCCTCCTGACTTTTCTTGTCGGGTACCCGACGGACTCCTACCAACCTATGATGCTTCGGTTCCGACACCTGCCGACCTACGACGTTTCGGACCCCTAGACCCTACGGCCTACCCCACTGGACTGCCCTGGGACTGAGGACTTGTCGGGACCCTGGGACCGTCTGCCACGCGAATCCTTTCAGCCGTTTCTGCTGCTGCAGTTGTTGCAGCTGTTGTTCCTGCTGCTGTTGCTGCAGCTGCAACTACAGCGGATAGAGCAGGTGCAGCTGCGGATGCCACTGCTGTTGCGGCAGCAGATCCAACCACTGTTGCAATACCAGATGCAACCGCCCTGTGCTGATTCGGGCACTTCAGGGCCCATCCGGGTAGGCCCCCAATGAAAAAAAAATGTCACCAACAATTTTGCAGGGCCACCCAGGGCCTCAAAAACGGCCTGGGCACCCCCAATTTTTTTTTCGAAAGTTTCGGGAATCAGGCCCATCCGGACCTACCAAACCGGACACCAGACCCGGACATGGGTCGGGATCCAGACGTCCCGTTGGCAAAGATGCTTTAGAGTGACCCTGGAGTTGCAAAAGCTTGGACTTCGGCAGCAAGGAGCCTGATTTCTTTTTGTGTTGTGGTGAGTTCTTACCCCTATGACCGATGATCTAACGGTAGGGCGCTGGCCTCCTCTGCTTTTTTTTTCCCTTTTTTTTTGCAGTTGCAACAAGCCTCCAGTGCACCCACAATCCACGAGCTGACGGTGAAGGGCATTGCACACGGATTCTTCTACTTCATTTTTCTTTCGTAGCTGCAACACGCCTCTGCTGCACGAGTACCAGACTGGCCTACATGGCCCTCTTTGCAGTCTGCGAAGGAAGTTGGAGGCACCGGTGGCTTATACCCCGTCTTAGAGGTACCAGCCAACAGCACCCAAAAATGATAAGGGCACCCAAGCAATTTCCCCGGGTGAAGAAATAACAGGAATTATTCACGCCATAAGTCAATTAGTGGAGGGCATGTCTCTGCACAAAATCGCAGCTCTCCTTTGTCAAACACCATGGTGAGCTCGAGCAGATTAAATATGTGACAATATATATCGTCACAAATAGAACTGCCCGGTAAACCGTAGGCAGAGAGAGAAGAGGACAACAAACGAGGGGCTGTGACAAACTGTTTCGTCGGAGTTTCACCGACTCATCAGGAGGCTATATATATCGTCACAAACAGAACTGCCCGGTAAAACCGTAGGCAGAGAGAGAGAAGAGGACAACAAACAAGGGGCTGTGACAAACAGTTTCGTCGGAGTTTCACCGACTCATCAGGAGGCTGAACTATATATCGTATATATCGTC